TGTCTAGGGGCTTTCTGGTTAAAATGATTTAGTTAAAATACCTTGCAAAACTCATGCCCAATTAAATAACAAATGTCAATCTGTTTGTAATGTGACCTTTTCCAGTGTTGTTTTACTGTAGGTTTAGTTATTATAGCATTAGTTTGCCTAATTGAATAGTTGATACCACACTCACGGTTGACATGACAACACCCAACAGTATAAATAGTACGTCGTGAAAAATATGCAAGTGATTTTTATATAATATTCTTAAAAAAAATTAACATAAAACACATATACAACGGTGAAAAATAATGTACTCAGCTGTACTAATACACGTTACTACTAGATGGCCAATAGATTCCGCGGTGAACAGGCAGTGCAGGTAACAGTGAGTCCCACTACGACAGAGCAGACAGGGTAAACAAGAGCCGATAATGGTGAGAGTGGAACTGACGTGGACTTCTCTGTCAGAGTAGACATCACCTGTCATAGATGGCTCCCCCAGCAGCCGGCGATGGTTTTCCAGCAATCAGGAACCATCTCATGACTCGTGTTCTTACTAGTGGCCTGCTGGCAACTAGTGGTTTGGGTCGTTTGGAATAAGCCGTGCAGATAAAGGTGGCATTGCAGTGTATTTACATGGAAGTGTGACCCTTCTACGTTAAACATATAATTAAGTTCTTAATACCCAGCAAATGTGCCTCAACATAAACTGTTACGACAAGTCAAAATTAATCAAATAATTGGAAGCCTCGAATTTATTTCAAATGTTTATCTCAATTTCTAATAACAATGAAAACCTTTGTACTTTGTCCTGCAGACTATTAGGAAAATAAACATATCTAGAATAAAACAAAAAATCTGTGCAGCTGGATCCCCTCATCAAAAGGATGTCTCTTTCTATGACATAATATTTATAAATAATTTTGGTTTAAAGATTTTTATGTTCTATGATAAAAATTCAGTAACATACTGGAAAACTGTTTATTGTAGTGTTATAAAAATATTTATAATGATTCACATAAATGTATAAACGAACCTCTATTGCACAATATTAAACACTCTATTTTCAGCCTGTATGGCAACAGTATTCTATGATGAAACTGTGAGTTAAAATTAATTTTCTGCTGATGCTCTTGTATTACCAACTGGCTTCTGTGGACAGACAATGAATCACAATGTGCAGCTAAACCATAGCTGGTCTGTTCAGTATTCACCCTGAATCATGGCTGGTCTAGTTAATATTACTCATAACATAAAGCAATATTATATCACCAAATCTATTAATGCATTAAATGAATTTTACTGAAAAAATAACATGTATGTCGACATACCAGTTACTATGGTCACTCAGATGGAGACAAATGAGCTGAAGGATGGTCAAATGATGTGTTACAGAGTGACTCGTGACAAGCTACAAGCTCTACTACTACTTCCTTATCAGTTATTAATCAATCTGCCCAACACTTACGTTCTGTGTGGTGTAATATTTACACCACACATTATAAAACAATCCAAAATATAATCAGGATATAAAATTAAATAACATGAGGCTAGAGTGAGTTTTTTCTTCACCAAAACAGGTGCAGTCCAGATCCTTCTTCACTTTACCCAAGCCTGACACTAACACTGATGTTGCTTCTTCAACACCATTGTCTAATGGCGTATCTCATCACGAAAATTGTGACCAAGTCCCAGTTTGCTGATCTGACTTTCTGTCTCATTTACACACAATTGCAGGGTCTCAATTGTTTCTCTTACTATTGACAGTACAACATAAATATATTGTTTCTCACTTTTGATCTTTTTTTTTTATTTTTTTATTTCTTTATTATTATTATTATTATTATTATTATTATTATTATTATTATTATTATTATTATTATTATTATTATTATTATTATTATTATTATTATTATTATTATTATTATTATTATTATTATTATTATTATTATTACTATTACTATTATTATTATTATTATTATTATTATTATTATTATTATTATTATTATTATTATTATTTTTTTTATTATTATTATTACATTTTGCCCCCCAGGCACCAATGTGGGTCAGTGACCTGTGGCTGGAGAGTTAATCCCGTAAAAAAAAGATTCTGTGTAACATTTTTTTTTTTTTAGGAATTAGCCCACCCGGGCACAGGTCAAACGACCCACAACGGAGCCTGGGGGGCGAAAAAAAAAACGGAAAGAAATTGTAAGTATAGAAAAAAGAGGTTATACTGTATTAATCTACACCACGAAGATGCCGGAAAACCAGCTTCTTAAAGTGAGACAGATTGTAAGAGCATGGAAACACAGAAGAAGGCAGAGCATTCCACAGTTTGGCTGTGTGAGGAAAGAAGGAGGAACTATAACGGGTTATTCTCGTGTGACCGACGTCCACAGAGAAACGGTGGGCACCGCGGGCAAGACGTGTGTTATGAACCCAAAGCCTTGCCGGCGGTACACAAGATGCCAAATCCACCGAACATTGCCCGTTAAAGTACCTGTAAAAGAGAGAGGGTGAAGCAACATTGCGCCGAAGAGAAAGGGAAGAGAGATTGTCGACTAAAGGAGAAGAGTTAATAAGCCCAAATGCCTTTGATTCCACCCTATCTAATAGTTGGATAGAAGAAGAGCCACCCCAGATATGAGAGCAGTATTCCAAGTTAGGACGAATGAATCCCTTATATACGTAGAGCAACTGCTCAGGAGTGAAGTAGCTGCGGCATCTGTACAGCATTCCCAACTTTCGGGAGGCAGCTTTAGTTATACTAAGGATGTGTGATTTCCAGGACATAGTGGAGGAAATGGTGAGGCCTAACATATTTATTTCAGAATTTGGGAGGATGATAGCATCCTGAAATGTAATTGGTGGGAGATCGTCTAATTTACAAAGTGTAATTGGTAAATACTGAGTATTATTACTATTGAACTTTACCAAGTTTGTACCTCCCCATTAAGAGATACTGCACAGATCCGCGTTGATAGAAGTAATGATATCAGTTCTAGAAACAGATCTAGTTTGAGAGTTAGGAGGAAGGGAAATATGTGAGGAAGAGTGAAGAGTAGAATCATCAGTGTAAGAATGGATAGAATTAGTTGTAGTGTGAAGTAAATTATTGATAAAAAGAAGGAAGAGAGTTGGTGAAAGAACAGAACCCTGTGGAACGCCACTACTGGTAGAGAAAGAGCGAGAAATCGATCCCTCGACAACAATTGCCATGGATCGGTTCTCAAGGAAAGCAAAGTGGGGGAGAGAAACCAAAAGAGGGAAGTTTAGATAGCAAAGACTTGTGTCATACCCTGTCAGATGCTTTGGAGATGTCGAGGGCCACGACAAAAGTTTCCCCATAATCCCTAAGAGAGGATGACCAAAGATGGGTGCAATAGGAGAGCAGATCACCAGTAGATCTCGCCTGGCGAAAGCCATACTGTTGATCCGACAAAAGGGAAAGGCGTTCAAGGTGACGGAGAAAATGGGAGTTCAAGATAGTTTCGAAAATCTTAGCGAGGGATGAAGTTAGGGCAATGGGGCGATAGTTAGAGGGATTAGAATGGTCACCCTTCTTCGGGATGGGCTGAACCAAGGCATGCTTCCTAGAAAAAGGAAAAGTTTGGGTTTTGAGGCAAAGGCGAAAGAGGCGAGCAAGCACAGGGGCCAGGGCTTCAGCACACTCCTTCAGAACACGAGGGGGTATTCCGTCCGGTCCATGCGCCTTACTCACATCCATCCTGGATAACACACCGGCAACCCTGCGAGTGGAGATTATAGGAAAGTGCATAGGTTCAGTAGGAGGTGCAGGGCTAGGAAAGATAGAGTGGGAATCGTCTAAGGTGGAATTAGAGGAGAATAAGGTGCCAAAGAGGTTGGCTTTGTCAGGGGGAGTTGGCTATAGAGTTATTGGGACGGAAGAGGGGAGGAAAAGAAGGCGTGCAGAAGTTGTTACAGATGTTTTTAGTTAAGGATTAGAAGGATTTACTAGAGGAAGAATTAGTCAGGACAGCGGTCTTTCTTTTAATAAAATTCCGCTTGGCCCTACGAAGAATAGCCTTACAACGATTCCTAGAAGTAATGAAAGAGGTGTGGGTAATAGGAGAAGGAGATAGTTTCATAGCTCGATATGCCCTATCTCTCACCCTGCAAGTTTTGGTAGAAGATGGGATAAATGCACTCATACCGCCCTGTATAACCCCAGCAATGCTGTCAGCACATACCGAGGCATCCCGAGTGGAAAAGCAACATTCATCCCAAGGAAAGTCGGTGAAGAATTCTCGCAAGGATTGCCAGCTTGCCCTCCGATAGTGCCATAGTTGACGTTTAGAGGGGGGTGGGGGAGGTGGTCGTGCCCAGTTTGATTTAATAGAAATAAGGTTGTGATCAAAAGACCCTAAGGGAGCAAAAATTGAGTATGAATAGTGTGAGGGGTTAGAGGTAAAACAAAGATCAAGAATGTTAGCAAGTTGATCGTGTCGATCAGGAACGCGTGTAGGGTGTTTGATTATTTGTTCCAAATCATTAAGTAAGGAAAAAGAGAGTGCCTCAGCTCCACCTGGGTCATCCCTTGCAGAGCCAAGCCACTCTCTGTGATGTACATTGAAATCCCCTAGGTAGAGGATCTCGGTGTTGGGGTGTGTGGATAGCAATGACTCATGGCAAGAAGTGAGATAGTCAAAGAGTTCGAAATAGTTGGTAGAGTTGAGAGAACAGTATAGGAAACAAAGAAAAATAGTCACAGTTGGTGGAGATATTTTGAGCCAGATGACATCATACAGGGGAGATTCAAGATCCGAGAGTCGGGCTATAGGTGTACGTGTGTTGCAGTAGGCGCATACACTTCCCTTAGAACGGAAGTAGTTATAGCGGTTGTAGTTGGAGACTTGAAAAGGTTTTATTTGTGGTGTTGTCAATAGTAAGAGAGACAGTTGAGACCCTGCAATTGTGTGTAAATGAGGCAGAAAGATAGATCAGCAACCTGGGACTTGGTCACAATTTTCGTGATGCCATATAACAGCAGGGTCTGCCATTAGACAACACATTATGCTTCCAATATCTTCCCAGGTGGTAGTACCTCCCTGTTTGTTAGCTGCCTACTACCTACCTATAATGAAGTTACTTGAATATTATGCTCTCAAATTATACATGATGTGTTGGTATGTTAATTGGCCTAGTCCTAGTTATAACGTTCCCCTCATGAGATTTACAGTAAGACCATATTTGATACAAGATGTTTATGAGCTCATATGTAGCCAGCATGAGCCCGTAAGGGGAAAAATTATCTCAACCAGTCGTTAAATGATATAAAAATAGAGAAAAAGGAGTTTTATAAATCCTAACTAGAAGATACATGGGATCTAAAGTGTTTTCATTTCGACGGTGACATTGGCAGTCACATCAAGTGCGGGGTTCTCGATCCCATTGCGGGTTTTCTCATCAACAGAGTGAACTATTTGCCGGCTCTCCTCCGTGAACACATGAAGGAAGTCTGGGAAACTGCCAGCTTGGTATAAGCGCTGCGTGATCCACGACACCAGCAGGAGCGTCATCAAAGTTACCAACATAGACAGTGTCCTGGTGGAAAAAAAAAGAAAAAAGAATACCGGGTTAAATAAGTCAGTATAAAAACTCCCCCTTCATACGGGCCACCAATAATCAAAAAGAGGTATATAGTTTTACTTAACACATTTACTAATTAGTGTAAACACACCATGGAGAAGTAGAGATGGAAAAGCTTCAGGTTAAGGTGGTGAAGAAGGCAGAAATTATTTGTTAAAACTGGTTTTCTAGTAGGCACATAATAGCCCGAATTATCTGAAGATCTATAGCCAGTAACATCATACGATGTCAAAGATAATGTGGCATGTATTACCATAGGTCATGTGATATTTGACATCAAAGGTTATCTGAGCAAATGCTTCAGAAGTCATATTCTGTAATTTACAAGAAAAAATACGTAATATATTGATTAATCATCTCAAAAGTGACGTAAGAACATATGTTGATTATAATCTCTGTAAGCCAACCACCATTCAGCTAACAAGTCTAAAAATAAAATAATTTTCATATTTGCTTGATTTTCTTATTAGCCTACCATTACGTCAGCCTGTTGGTCACATTTACAGTCAGTGCACAACCCGACTGTCATGGGTTGCGTTGGGCCTCCCGCACAACCCATCCCAAATGTTTGTTTACGGTAGAGATAAGGTAACCGGCCAGCCATAACTGGGACATGTAGGGGGGGCAGGCCAGTGAGACAGTGGTGTACTGTTCTTCACTTCACGCCTCAAAAAAAAACCCAATTTAGCCAGTGGGCTTTAGACCTTGGGTTAGAGAAGACCTCCTGCTCCGCGGACTTAAGATCAGGGGCCATACAGTCCTACCAGTGCTACGGGTCGGTGTGTGCAAATCCCCGAGATATTTGTTAAGTCCAGCGACAAGTTAACACATCCTGTAAAGGAAGTGATCACTGGTGAGGGCCTGTTTGCTACAAGAGCACTCCAGGCCGGCCTAATAGATCTAAACGATAAATTCACCAGGTTGACAAACTCCCCCTTATAACTTACGGTACTGTGGCGTGAATGTGAGTGACTGACCTATCCATGCAAATTATAAGTCCAGTGTATGGAATTGTGCCAATTAAACGTAAGTGCAATCATCTGCCCGTATCTGTGATCCCTCTATTATTATTATTACCAAGGGTAATGACTGATTGGTTATGACAAAGTATAACCAATAACTTAGATGGATGTTGGAAGTTAGTGGAATTCATTAAATCATCATTTATCAAGTACATAACGCGTTGAATGCCGGAAGCAGAGCAAAATTCTACGTAGTGATACACCATAATCTCTTGGGTGAGTAACCAGTGTGAAGGTATCCGAGTTCTACGGTAAGAAAGCCACTTTCCTGCATTTAAAACGTAACACCGACCACATCGTGGTGTGTCGGTATTCAGAAACACAACACTCACATAACAATTGACACCAAATATCACTTGACCTATGGTAATAAATACCACATTATCTTTGACGTTATATGCTGTTATAAGCCAAAGATTTTCACATAGTTGGCACCTGCTAGGAAACCTGTTTCAACAAATAAATTCCTCCTTCTTCACCATCTTAACAGCCCGAGAACGTTTAGAGTGGAAGAGTGGAAGACTGTGGTCGCCTATCCTCAGATATGAGGATGGTACTCTGATTGAGAGGACCGAAGGCGTTCCTGGTGGATCGGGTCTCATATCGGAATCTTGGAACAGTTCATGAGGAGACGATACCCGCTCTATGGCAGGTTCCCTAAATATTGATATATTGAGATTAAAAACTGACAGGAAATTTGTTTCTGTTTTGTGATAGAGATTTATTTTCATATATATTCAAAGATTGTCAACTATTTAAATTTTCAGCATGATAACATCTACTTGTGGAGGGCTTCTACAAGTAGATGTTGCCGCCTGTTTAATTAGAGATAAAGCTATGGTTATGTACTTTTCACTTTTGTATGTTTAAGAAATGATAACATCTACTTGTGGAGGGCTTCTACAAGTAGATGTTGCCGCCTGTTTAATTAGAGATAAAGCTATGGTTATGTACTTTTCACTTTTGTATGTTTAAGAAATGATAACATCTACTTGTGGAGGACTTCTACAAGTAGATGTTGCCGCTTGTTTAATTAGAGATAAAGCTATGGTTATGTACTTTTCACTTTTGTATGTTTAAGTTCAAGATATTTGAGAGGGAATTGAGGAAATATTACATTTTATTATGCGAAAAAAGAAGGTATTTTATAGGTAAAATTTTTCCCAAACAAAGTGTTGATGTTTATTTTGGGGGTAATTGGTTAGTTATCGAAATATAGTCAACCAACTTAACCAAACTTCACAGCAATTTAATCTTTGACCCTCGTGCCCCGTTGACCCCCCTCCCCCCAATGTTAAAATTTGCCTAAATAGCGAGGAAAATTATATTAATGAATTAGGAACGCAATTACAATCAGGGCTGCCTAAGGTCTTACATCAAATTTCAATAATATATTTTCCACACTTAATCTTGAGTGTTTCATGAAGGAATTAATTATCTTTACAATGTGAACATTGCATAATATAATTTTACGTAAGTTAGAGGGCAGACACTGTGTAATAAACTCAACTTACACAATAATAGCATGCGGTTTCCTTTCACCAGCGTCGCACGGCTGTGTGGAGAAGGGAAAACATTGAAGTGGTCATTTTGGTGTTCTACTAACTGCATGGGAAACAGACAGACTGGCAGGGAGGAAAGGGGTGGGAGAGAGAGACAGATAGACAGTCAAAGACAGAATATACTAATATCGAGTTGGCAAGGTAAGGACTCAGAAGGGGGGCGAATAGCTCTCAGTTATCATGTGGGTTTTTATTTCCTCACATTTTGTATTTCTTTTTGAAGCATATTATAACTGGCTTTATTTTTTTTTTTTTTTGTATTTATTTATTGGGCACTCCCCTACATCCTTGTGTAAGAAGCGCAGAAGCGTTTACAGCGCCCAACAGGGAAGCATGCTAAGTTCATGCTTGCCTTTATGTCTCATGAGTTAAGGGCGTAGAAGCCTGAAGAGTTAGTGGTTTATGTCATCAAGTTATTGGAAGCTCCAACAACTCCCTGAATATGAATTCGCAACTTTCGACTTACAACAGGTACCTATTTTGCAGCTTCTGATTCATAAAAGATATATTATTTCTAACAAACTCAGACAATATATATATATATATATATATATATATATATATATATATATATATATATATATATATATATATATATATATATATATATATATATATATATATATATATATATATATATATGTAATTCACATCTTCAGATGTGAATTACACGAAAGCGCTTGGGAACTTCGTGTTTTCTTCTTTCCTTGTGGTTATCAGCATATACCTAGATCACGCGCACCTACAGTGATTTACTTGCATATATATATATATATATAGATGTTCACGGCGCCATAAGCTCGTTGATTTTGCTTTGTGTGAAATATAACAAAGTCTAGGACTGCTATTAGTATCCTGGTGGTACAGCGGTTAGAGTTCCCCGGTCACAGTCATAGGCTTGTGGGCCGTGGGTTCGAATCCTGGCGGGTTGAGGTGTTGATTGTATGTAGAAGTCCGCGTGCTTTATTGGGCTAATGAAATATATATATATATATATATATATATATATATATATATATATATAACACTTCATACATCTTTGCCAAATATTTATTTACCTCTCAATACCTTTCCAATAAATTATAAAATATATTCATTATTCCACAATTATCTTGACACTGATTCTACCTTATAAGATATTCATGGATGTTTATTCAAAATGATAAATAAGGTTCATATGCTTCCTGTGGCTGGACTTAGACTAAACACTTCATTCATTAGGTCACACAGTTATTGTACAGTAATTTACGCATTTCACACGCACACACACACACACACACATCATCAATGCTTCCCTCAGTCAAGCCAGATGCCCAGCTGACTGGAAGACTTCATATGTATGTGTCACCAGTGCCCAAGTTAACCAGCCCACAATCCTTAAATCAGCTACGACCAATTGCAATCACCCCAATACCCAGCTTAATCTGTGAAAGTTTTGTGTTTGACTGGGCCTGTGCTGATATTGCAGGCGCCGTAGATCCTCAGGAATTTGGTAATATGAAAACTTCCTCCACCACTCACAGTCTTGTCAGCTTTTTCGACTACATATACCGCCATCTGGAGAAACGAAAAACATCTGTAGCTGTCGCCTTCATTGACTTCACCAAGGCATTCGACCTAGCCGACCACAATTTAATCATCAACAAAGTTATCGACCTCGGGTTTCGAAGAAGTCTTATGCCATGGCTTACAGACTTCCTTAGTAACTGACGCCAAGCTGTACGCTTCAGAAGGGCTGTCTCCACCTTTCAGTCACTCACCTGTGGCTCAGGGCTCAAGAGAGTGACTGGGAAGTAGGCCAGGAGGTTTTCTTGAGGAATAATGCCAGGATAGGGAGATGCAAGATGCAGAATCACTGGTTCAACATGAGGTGGCACATTGTCGAGGTCTTCAACTCTAGGCCAGGCCTGTACAGCATTGAGCCGAGTGGTTGGGAAGATGTGGCCGCGAGGGTGGAACACCGGAGCAATTTGAAGGCTGCTCCACCCCTGAGGCCCTTAGGAAACCCGGTGGTGGATGAGCCAGAGAGAGAAGCTGAGGATCCTCCTCCACAGGTGGGCATGATGACGAGAAGCAGACAGGCTGCCGAGAGTGAAATTAGCAAGCATGGCGGGGGCTCGAAAAAGATGAGTTATGGAGGAGTCATAGGTTGGGATGGAGAGCATACAAGAGATGGCTATGTCAGGGATGTGTGATGGATTGTAGTTATGGTGTCGAGACAGCTGAGCGTTGAGAATGGTTGTATGGCCAGAGGCGTGGAATGAGTCGATCATTGCAGTGTCCGGAGCTGCAGACGTGAGAGCGCTTCAGAGTGAGTCCTCCAGTAGAAAGGACCAGGCAAAAAGGGGAGTTTGATGGCTGAGGATGGGTT